GAATTGAGACTGAATGCAAGACCCTGTGCTTACCAGGGAGATGGACCACATTGAAACAGAGAGCTGAACTCATGTCTGTGGCAACACAACAGAAACAGGCGTGGAGCCAAATTTTGTGAGGACAGAAACTTATGCAAACTGGAAAGATTGATATCAGAAAGGAAAGATAACATAAAGTTAAGTACCTTGTGGGCCGGAGATTTAGCTCAGTGGTTTCGCCGCCTGCTGCACAAGTGCAAGGACCTGAGTTCAATCCCCAGTACCAAAAAGAAAAGATTTTGCTAAAGTCATTAAGTTGCTCAAGTTGGGCTTGAACTTGGGATCTTCCTGCCTCAGCCTCAGTGCCATGGACCTTCACTCCCAGCTCCAGCCCATTTAAATTTTACAGTGGGCCCTTGAGTTATAACCAGGCTCACATATGAACAACTTGGGTTACAAGAATTTTAGTTTTAACTTATGACCAAAGTCTTGAGTTATGAATGACACTGAATGCCAGTCTTTCGTGTGTGAGGTTAATTGAGAAATCCTGGGCCAATGACTCTCTAAGGACACTGAGATCTGCCTGGTAGAAAGTGTGGCCTAAAATTATACGAGAGAGACTTTGAAGGCTGTGTAGAGGAGCCTGAGCCTTCAATTGACCCTGTGGTTGATGACACTGTCACTATAGCAGAGTCCATAGGCTTGAAGGTAGACAGTGGTGATGTTGAGGAACTGGTGAACACTCAGAGGAACACTCAGAGGAATTGTCTACAGAGGAACTTCAGCAACTCCTGGCTGAGCAATGGAGAATGGAAGCTGAGGAACTTTCTGAAGAGGAGGGGGAGTATCAACAATCAGTGCAGCAAAGTCCTTCTTCTGAAATAAAGGAAATCCTGAAAAAATGGACAGAGCTCTAAACATTTGTAGGGAAGACCCACCCAGAGAAAAAGCCAATCATTGCATTCACTTGCTTAATGACAGTGTCATGTCATACTACAGAACCGAGTTAAAGAAAAGACAGAAACAGACAGCCTTAGACCAGTTTTCAGTTCTGAAAAGGTTGAGACCTAGTGATCCAGAAGCAGGTCCTAGTGGGCTACAGATTCTCACAAGGAGAGAAAGAACACCAGAGAGCCAGATTCCTGATGTTCTTATGGAAGGGGACTCTTTCCAAACTATAACCATCTTCCGTTTCATCCTCCCTTCCTGTAAATCGAAGATGTCAACTTGAATGGTGAGTACAGTACCAAATTGTTGTTCTTGGTAAACTAGGAACATTTTATAACTTTTTGGTGAATACACTAGGAAAACTAGTGTTTCTGGTAAATTGCACACGTTATACAACCCTTTATTATGAAAAGGTTAAGGGGTGCTTTGGGAGGTTCAGAATGCACTATGGGTGTTTCCATTATTTCTTATGGGAAAAATAGTCTTGACTTACAACCAACTTGAGTTAGAACCAGCCCTCTCGAACGAATTCAGTTCATAAGTCAAGGGTTCACTGTATTTTGAGACAAGTGTTGCTAAGTTGCCAAGCTGGGCTCAGACCTGTTATCCTCTTGCCTCAGCCTCCCGAGTGCTGGGATTATAGGTATACACCACCACCTCTAGCTTGACAAAATATTTTTAACATCTCTCTTTTTTTCTCTTTGATTTTTTAAGACAATGTCTGGTTATGTAGTTCAGGGTGGCCTTATACTCACTATGTACAGCAGCTGGTCTCAAACTTGTGGCAATCCTCTGGCTTCAACCTACCAAATGCTAGAATTATAGCACCATCATGCTCAGCCTTGACATTTCAATAGCATAAGAAATTTTCATGCTGTATTAACTGGGGGGAAAGCTGTTACAAAATAACACGAACAATAATATTCTAATTTTGAGAAAAATATATAGATATGCAGGTATAAAAATAATGGTAAGAGGCCAGACATGGTGGGGCACGCCTGTAATTCTAGCACTTGGGAGGCTGAGGCAAGAGGATTGCCATAAATTCGAGGCCAGCCTGGGCTACCTAGACCCCGCCTCAAAAAAGGAAGAAATAAATAATTGAAAGATACAGCAAAACATTGCCACTGATTGGCTCAGACTTGTAGGTTGATGTTAAAATTTTCTTTTGCTCTTTATATTTTTCTGTTGTCTTCATTTTCTAATAAACATGCTTTTTTTTTTTTTTTTTGACGGAGTCTAAGCCCATAAATTGACCAGGCTGGAACTTGTGATCCTCCTGCCTCAGCCTCCAAGTGTGTCCCTTTTTGTAATCAAGGGAAAAAATTAAGCTTTGCTACAAGTGTAGCAAAAACCTGGAAGAATGGTGACTGTTAAGCAAAAGTGTGAAACAGTGATGATTACTCCTAAGAAAAACTTGTGCTAGGATTTAACAAACTACAAGTTGGTACTCTTGACTTTTCCAGGTTTTACCCCGACTGCCACCTCCCTTGGCAGGAGAGGAGAGGAAAAGACCTAAAAATGAAAGTGGCACGCACAGTCTGGCTAACCCAAGAACTTTAATTTGCCTTTGATTTGTCATTATGTTACCCAACATCTAAACATTGTAATGCTCATCTAAGTGGCAAACCATGTGAGAGTTTTAAAAAGTAACTCAAGGGGTGGGAGGGGAAAGATTTTATTTTTACTTTGACTACAAAATGCTTAGGAATAAAACATGTAGAATGTAAAGACGTTGACACAAGATTATGCATGAGAAAAAAAGAGACAAATGACGGTGTTGTAATACCCCCTTGTGGCTTCACGGTATTCCTGTCCTGAAGCAACCTCAGAGAGAGAAGGATACATTCCCTTCTGCATAAATCAACAAAAGTATCAATTATCAATTTTGTGTCCATTCCCTATTGTGTCAAGTATTAGCTATACTAGGATTTAAAAAATGACCGTAAATCTTAGGTCGTATTACCGTTGGTAATCATTTACTTGGGTTGAATACACATAATTAAGAGGTCTTGAAATTGAGCCTCACAAACAAGCACTGTAATGTCTCTTTCCAATACAGTATAGTTTTATTTCCTGAGAGGTAGATAAGGGATCAGAGTAAGGTATGTGATTACTACTTTCCAGCGGTTCGGTACTTAACACGTGATTATCCAAAAAAGCACAGAAGCAGTGGATATAAAACTGCCTGACAGCTCTGACTTTGCAAGTGACCTTGGACAAGTGATATTCTCCCCAGCCTCACGCATTCGTTTAATTAATTATGTGAACCTGGAGGGTTAGTGTAGGAAAAACGAGAAGCAGTCTTCAGGCTCTCTGAAACCCACTTTTCTAATTTGTAAATCCAGCTTGACAATCTCAGCCTGTTGACAAAGAATTAGGGGCTGGGCGTGTAGCTCAGTGGTAGGTTCGGGCACCGAGCTCTGGATTCGATCCTCAAAAAGGAAAGGAAAAAAACTCCGCGACGAATGTAATCATTACGTATTACAAACATGCACTAATGAAAATCAAATTTTAAAAACACAAAAAACATACAGCCACAGTTAACAGTTCGATTTAGGTGGTGCCTAGAGCATGCAGAGCACGCTACCACTCAGCTCCACCCGGGCCCCAGAGATAATTTTTTAAATCGTGTTCACAAATTTTTTTATGCTCCTTTCATTTAATCCCGCCTACAGTTGCTCACAGAATCTCACGATCGGAAAGGACTGAAATCCCCGAATGCCTGCTCTAATATCACGTTCACCGCACCAGAGCCGGGGAAACCGGCGGGAGCCTCAGAGAGGCGTGGGTCTCAGCGTCTCAGCCTTGGCCTGGCCGCTCCTTCAGCGGGGCCTCCGTCAGGCTGCGGCACGCTGCGGGCCTGAAGCGCCATCTGCGCTGCCCTCTCCTGCAAGGCCACGCCGCTTCTCCTGGCAGCGGAGCGAGTAGGACCCGGGCTGCCCGCGCTGCGCCCCTCCCACCTCTCTGGCGCGGAGGGTAAGGCTCGGCCCGGCTAGCGCGGGAAGCCCTCAGGGGGGCCCGGCCGGGGCGGCTGCGCCGAGTGGACTCCGTCGCGCCCGGGAGGGGCCGCTCATCGCCCCTCGCCCCGAGGAGGCCTGCGACGGCGCGGAGGAGCCAGCAGGGGGCGCGGAGGAGCCAGCAGGGGGCGCGCCCCCCCCCGGGCTGGAGACCGGTGGTCTACCCCAGGCCGGTGCGCGGAGGCCGCCATCCCGCCCCCCCTCCGGCCCCCGGCCCCCGGCCCCCATCTCACCTCGTCACCTCCCGCCCTCGTGGCGGCCCGGGCGCGCGGCGCAGGCGCGAACGCGGCGGTGAGTGCGGCGCGCGGGCTGGGGTTGGGCCTGGGCCTGGCGGGTAGGGCGCGGGGTGTCCGGGAGCGTGAGGGCCAGAGCTGCGTCCGCCCGCGGGGCTGGCCCGGCTGGGCTCGGGGCGGGTGAGTGAGTGCGAGGCAGCCGCGGGCGGGGTGGCGGGCCGGGCACGGGGGCGCTGCGGGGACGCCGGCGGGCGGCGCATCTCCCACGCGACAGGGCCGGACGGGCCGGAGGGCGGCTTCGAGCGGAAACCCGGCCTCCGCTTCCCGGCGGGGTGGCTTTCCCCGCCCCCATCCCGAAGGCCAGCCCGGCCCTGTGGTTCTCTGGCACCCTTGGGGTCCGGTCGAGGGTCCTCGGCGCTGCCGGGTCGTTGCCCCGGCCGGGTGGGCGCGTGTGTGGCGGCGTCGCTCCGTCCCGGGCGCCGTGACCTACGGCGGCGCATCCCGCGGGGCTGGGCCCACGGAGCGCGGGCCCGGGTCCCCGCGCCCAGAGTCGCAGGAGGCCGCCCGCGGGGTGCTGGGAACCGTTTTTTGGTTTCGGAGCAGAGCTGAGAGACCGGCATGAATTGAAACAGTGTATCTCTGCAAAGGAATACGAACGCGTGCCAGACTAAAAGGCTGTTGAAATGCGTATTGACTGTATGAGTAGACTGTAAATTGGACAGACAGTACAATACCTTGGGTTCATGCTCTCCTGAAACATTTTGCTTCAATTATTTTAAAAGCTGAAAATATGTATTTTTATAAAGGTGAAAAAAGTTTACCCCTTTTTAGCTTTTTATTGTAAAGATATAGTTGGTTAGGAAAGACTGCATGGCACGAAAGGCCTTTTAAAAGGTTGTGTCTTTAGTAAGTGATGGCTGCCTGTCGTGTGTTGTACGTAGGCATTCTTGTTGGTTGAAAATATGACAGGTGTGAAGATGCTAACCTGTTTTGTAAGATGCTTTTTTTATTTGTTTGTTTGGGTTTTTTGGTACCGGGATTGAACTCGGGACCTTGCGTTGGCAAGGCAGGCACCAGAACCACTGAGCTAAATCCCCGGTCCTAAGATGCTTTTTTTTAGAAAACAAAAAATGCTTCGTATGGCATAAAACCACTTTTCTTAATCTAAAATATACAGGTATACTTCAGCATGGGAAAAAGTGTGATATACAAATGCCAAAACGTTAGCAGAGGTTCTGTGTGAATGGATTTTTGGTGATTTCATTAAAATTTTTATGATTCTCATGCAGAACACCTTATATGTGTATACTTTGTATTTAAGGGCGGAGGGGGAAGGGTTGCATGCCATTCAAGAATCTTTATGATAAGATACTAGTGAGCAAATGCTCATGACTTACAGGCCCTTTGTACACATAACTGCACTGAAGAAAGCTGGGTTTTAATCAAGGCCCATAAAAATACTTGCTGAAATAAGAATGGCTAGTATTGTAGGTCCTGAATGGCCATTTACCACCATGCTGAAAGGAGACCTAATAAGCCTTTGTCCAAAGTAAGAGTCAGACCCCTTTGCTGATTAAAATGACTGTCTTTCATTTGAAATTCTGAATCCAGGCCAGCTTGCACCATCGATTTTAATGCTTGATTTCCTTTTCTCACTTTTTTATACAAATTCTAAGAAACTTGAAATAGATTCCCCAATAACAAGAGATTACCTTAATGTATTTTGCTAATGATTTTTAGTGTGCTGCCTAATATTCTTTGCTTATATAGAACATAAAGTCTGAAGCCTTTGCCTATAAATTTCAGAATAAGCCTTGGAGTTTTAGTTTATTACAGAAAGGTGAAAGCAGCTTTATAAAATGAATATTGAGTGCACATGATTGAGAGGATAAAGAATGCTGTTTATGTTGAGTGAGGCATTTTATATGTTGGTATTGTTTCTGTAAATGTCATGGTTGTCAGGTTTTTTTTTTAGGTGATTACCTTCCGTTCTTTCCAGTTGGTGATTAAGAACTGGAAACAAGGGGCAGCTTGCTAGTGGCAGTGCTTAGCAGTGAAGATTTGCTCATGTGTAGTTATCCAGTGCCCAGGAATCAGAAGACATGTATTGTAGTCCCTGGTTCTGCCACTTCTCGGTTGACTTGACCTGCCCTGACACTGTGTCCTCATCAGTAAAAATGAGGTAAGTTTGATAGTAAGCCTATCTCTGTACCTCACAGGATTGTTGTGAAGATGAAATAGAATAAAGGTTAGGGAAAATGTTTAATAAGCTAAAAAAAGCACTTATTACTATATGATTATTTCACTGGTAGTACTGATATATCCAAAACTTAATGGAGCAGCAAAAATAGTATGTGCACAACCAGGCATTCTTGTGATCTCAGCACTTGGGAGGCTGAGGTAGGAGAATCTCCATGAGTTTGAGGCCAACCTGGACTACATAGTTCAAAGCTAACCTGAACAACATAGTGAGATCTTATCTCAAATAACCAAACCCAAAACAAAACAAAAAATTTAATTAGACCTTTGTTTAAATCCCAGTTACTGAGTATGATTTTGACTTAAGTTTATGCCTCAGTTTGCTAATCAGTAACAAGAAGCAAATAATGATTTTGAGAGGCTATGTTGGATTTTGCATAAAATGTTGTTACGTGAAATAAAATGTGTTCATAGCCCAGAGCTGCTTCTTCAGCCAACATCTCCAAACCTTTCCAAACTCTTCCCATAAGACAGTTCCAAAGGCTCCTGAACCACATGGTCAGATAGTCATAGTATTGATCCCACTCTTGGTACCAAAATCTGGTTTAGTTACTTTCCTCATTGTTGAGACAAAATATCCAACACCCAAAATTAAAGGAGGAAAGGTTTGCTTTGGCCTACAGTTTGTAGAGGTTTCAATTCGTAATGGGTTGGCTCCAAGGCAGGGTGGCATGGCAAAGGGGCGTCACAGAGGAGAAACAGTTCATGGCAGGAAGCAGGCAGCAAAAGCAGCAAATGATGACTGCCCCCCTCTTTCTGTCCTTTGTATTCTAACCAGGCTACACACCCGTAGGTCAGGTAGCACTCACAGAGGATGGCCTTCCCATTATCTATACCCAGAACTATGCCAAACCAATCAGTGGAATAATTTAGTAATCACCCACCCTTGATCCAGTATCCAGCCACCTTTGAAAAACCCCACCTATGACCATATGAGGCTTTGTAGGGACATCTAACTGCAAGCCATAGCAGTTTAAACATAGGACCATAACAGTTTCAAGTGTGTGATTCAGTGTTTGCTTTCATTGTTACTTTTCCTATAGCAGAATACATTAATCCAGACTTTGTAATGTAGATTAATATTCCTGTTTTGGTATAGCTATAGCTTTGGAAGATAAACTCATTTCAAAGAAATGGGAAAATGTTATGTGTACTCACATTTATCAATATATAACATTTTTTAAAGAAAAAATTTGAAAAATATATAAAATTTTTAGTATTTAGTAAAATATACTCAAAGGAATTAATTCTTTATACTTTTCCTGTTGATTAAAGATCTGATACCATTGCATTCTTGGATCTGAGAAGTAAGCCACATTTTTGCTTATATGACTGTTCATGTTTACTTGCAGGCATTTTTTACCATCTGTGGAAGCTTCCCTATAATTCATTTTTTCTCACTGCAATATTAATTATATCAAGTAAGTGAAAAGTAGTAAAACTAATCAGTTATTTTCATGACAGTTCATGGGAATTTAATTGTATGATTGCCACACCTCCTCTGTTCTCAGTAGTGTTGAATGTGACTTCATAAATATTTTTTTCCTGAAAATTATATTCTGAGATTCTATGTAACACTTTTTTTTTTCTCTGGGAGCCACGGGGCCGGCACAGACTTCTGTTTTGTTGTTGTTGTTGTTGTTTGTTTGTTTTTGCAGTACCGGGCATCAAACTTAGGGCCTTGTGCTTGCGAGGCAGGTGTGGTACCACTGAGCTAAATCTCCGGCCCTTTTTTTAGTTTTTTTGTTTTGTTTTTTTGGTACTGGGGATCAAACTCATGACCTTATGCCAGCACAGACTTATAACAATAATGTTTTTGAGGTGCAAGCAAGGTCCTGAGTTCAATCCCCAGTACCAAAAAAAAAATTTTTTGAGGGCCAGGGATTTAGCTCAGTGGTTCCGCCGCCTGCCTCAACAGCACAAGGTCCTGAGTTTGATCCCCGGTACCCTCCAAAAAAAATATATTTTTCAGGAAATGTATCTAGCTTTAGCTGGAAATCTGTATAAAAATATTCCTAATTATAGGAACTGTGGTTAGGCATAATGGCTTTTTAAAATAAATAGTTTAAGCATAGAATTTATTATAATCATCCAGTTCTCACAGTTACATCAACATTTGAGAATTTTTCTCTTGGTAAGAAATGTAATAGAAATCAGTGTTCTGCCTTTGAGTTTGACTGGAAAAGTAACCCAAAATGTAAACAGAGGGCCAGGGATTTAGCTCAGTGGTTCCGGCACCTGCCTCACAAACACAAGGTCCCAAGTTCGATCTCCGGTACCAAAAAAAACAAAACACAAAATATAAACAGAGGTATTGTGTAATATTTTTCTTAATAAGGTTTATTATCGTATGGCACATACATTTCTTATTTCTAATAAATTCTTTGGTTAGACATAATTCTTATAACAAAATTAATAGTTATTATTTGTACCATATTTATTAAATTTTTTCATGTTTTCAGATTGAAAAGATATGAATGAATATCCTAAAAAAAGAAAGAGGAAGACTTTACACCCTTCTCGTTATTCAGGTTAGTATATAATTGAATCTTTTTAAAGTTCGGTCATGGATTAATTTCCATGAAATTATATTCCCATACATTTTCTCAAATGATTAGATGAGATTTAAATATGTTGATTAATTTTTAGGTAAGAGAACACTTTACATTCTCTTAAATATTCTTCTTTGTCATCTGTTAGGGAACCATTAGAACTTTACATTATTTAATCTTCCCAACTCCATGAGTTACATATATTTAAATTAGATCTGCACAGTTACTTATGTAACATAATTGGGGTTTGTCTCTCTGTTCCCAAGCTGTGCTTACCACACAATAATGTCAGTGGAAAAAAATTGATATTATTGAGGAAATAAAACTTTATCCTATACATTATTTTAAGATATGTGAGTTTTCATTCCAGTTGTGTAATTTCTGATTGAGGTTGGCTCTGCTGTGTTAGTATTGTAAGAACAGAGGTCTTTGGCCAGCCATGGTAGTGTATGCCTATAATCCCAACTATTCAGAAAACTAAGACAGGAGTATCAAAAGTTTGAGGGCCAGCGTAGGGAACTTAGACTCCTGTAAAAAAGAGAGCTGGGAGTGTAACTCAGTGGCAGATCATTTGCCTACTATGTGTAAGGCCCTGGGTTCGAAAAACAGAGAGAGAGAGAGATCTTTGTGGCTATCTCTGCATATATGTACTCGAGACAGTCTCAGACATAACTTTTAGTTTACCCCATCACACATTCTTCACATCTGAGGAGATTAGGCCTGGCCCACTGCCTGCCCATACTTTCCAGACAAGACCTGAGATGACTATATTCAGAAGCCTTCATTGGTCCTCAGACCATGTTCCCTAAGTATTATGCTTTCCTTGCACTCTGGTGGCATATCTTTCTGTTAAGTCAACATTTTGTGAGGTTAACACAGCATTTATTATATATCTGAATTTAGTGGAATTCTGATTATTAGGCAAATGTTTCAAAGTTACTACATTTAAGTTTATAACTTATGGTTCTTTTGAAACTAAATGTTAAAAGCTACATGGCAATATCAGATCAGAAATATAAAAGCTTTAAGCATTGAAGAAAATATTATACTTGTATTATATATGGTATAATTAAAATCATGAAACTTTGAGCTGATGGTGTAGCACAGCAGTACAGGGCCTATGTGTAAGGCCCTGGGTTTGATCCCCAGCACCAAAAAAAATAAAATTGATAAATATATTAGATAAAAATATGTGTCAGTAAATTTATATGTACATGCTATGGTTGAACTTTCTTTCATTTTATGTTTAGATTCCTCTGGAATAAGCAGAATTGCAGATGGATTCAGTGGCATTTTTTCTGATCATTGTTACAGTGTCTGTTCTATGAGACAGCCAGACTTAAAATATTTTGACAATAAAGGTATATCTAATATTTTCCAAAATATTTTTCTTTAAATTCCTTTTATAGGAGAAGGAAAGGAGGACAAGGGGAAGTAAAAAGATGTGTTGTGTGCACGTACCAACTCTCCATGCTGAATGTAACATTATGTATTTCAAACATGTACTAATAAAGAATTTCTAAATTAAAATAAATTGCTTTTACAGGGACTGAGGTATATCTCTGTTGGGAGTGATTCATTTTTATTTGTGTTAGTGCATGTTTGCAGCATATAATGATTACATTCATTGCAGGTATAGCAGAGTGCTCGCCTAGCACGTGCATGTGCATGTGCAAGACTGAGTTTGATCCCCAGCACCACAAAAAGAAAAAAATGCTTTTTTATTTTTTCCTTATTTGAAAAGGTAGGTGAAAATGGGTGGTTGATTTTAAAGCAGGCGAATGTTTGAATTTAAGAAAATATTTGTGTAATTTTCATTTTTAGCTTTATTTCAGACATACAAATACAAAACATGGTCTCCTAAATCTTTTTTTAGCTGGCTGGGAGTTGGTGGCAAAAGCAGGAGTGACCCCAGAGTTGGGAGCACTTATGGTGAAGGGTTAAGAATAGTATTATCGGGCCAGGGATTTGGCCCAGTGATGCTACACCTGTCTGGCAAGTGCAAGGTCCTGAGTTCGATTCTCAAAACCAAAAGAAAAAAAAGAATAAGTGTTATCCACAGTTCTACTCTGCTATACCTTTCAGTCTGAAGGACTAATTGAAGGAAAGAATAGAGGGTGCTTTGGTCTTTCTCAATCTTGCATTTTCTCTTGACTTCTCTTCTAGGGCACTGGGTAAATAGATAACTGGTTCTTCTTTCTTTAGAGCACTGACTCTCCTCATTCCTCTGGGCTCCTGATATAAGCACAGAAAAACACAAACTGTGAAAAATATGATAGAGTCAGAAACCAGTATGGACTCAATGCTTAGTTTAATTACAGATTTAGGTAACATAGAAATGTAGATAGGTATGTGCATATATCTATGGTAGTATACACACACATTTTTTGTTTTGTTACCTAAGAGGGCCTAAAAGAAATTATACCCCAGTAGCAGTGAATATATGATTTCTAGTACCATTCCTAACTAAAAGGAACTAGGGCCCCTGAAGCCAGGCGTAGTGGTACACACCTAAAATCCCAGCACTAGCAAGGCTGAGGCAGGAATATCACTGTGAGTTTGAGGCCAGCCTGGACTACATAGCAAGACTCTGTCTCAAACAAAAATCTAAGGCTCCTGAAGAAATGGTTGATTCCGTATTTGGAGTAGGAAATACATAAGGTCAGCTTGGAGCATATTACAGTGCTGGAAAAAATAGGGAATTAAAAAAAAATAAAATGTACACACATATAGTGGTATGCTAAAGGAGCCTAACAGCCAAAGCTGAAATAATTTGATAAGACATTGAATTATAAGCCAAAGTACAAATTAAATACCCACAAAGCCATACTGATAAGATTGAATAAGGAGAAATGAGACAAATCTCCCATACAGAAGAATTTCAAAAATTTTATATATTCTTCCCTCTAGGAGGTGGAATGCAACTCTCCACTCCTTAATTGTGAACTACACTTAGTAATTTCCTTTCAAAGGTTAGACTATGGAAGTAAAAGAGTAACTTTACAATGGAGAAACCTAAATACTACCTTAACCAAGTGATCAAGGTCAGCACCAACACTTATAATTCATGTTGCTAGTATGTACTTAAGAAGATTTGCCAGTTTATCTCTGGGGTCTACCTCCAAGTAACTCATAATTCCAATCTAATCATAAAAAAATAGATAAATTACATTAGTGGAGCATTCTTCAAAAGGCTTGACCAGTAGTCCTCAAAATGATCAGAGTCACCAGTAGTCTAAAGACACATGATAACTAAATGTAATGTGAGATCCTAGGACAGACAGGATGTTAGGTAAAAGCTAAGGTTATCTGGGTGAAATGTGGGCTTTGGTTAGTAATAATGTATCATCAGTATTAATATGTTATTCATTAATTACAATAAATGGACCATCCTGGTTCCATATAGGAACTCTGCTATCTTGGTAATTTTTTCCAAAAATGTAAAACTTGGAAAAAAAATTTTATTTTTAAAGTTGAAGCCCAGTTTTCTCTACTGACCTGTATTTTAGCTTCTCCATGCTAACTTTTAGGCTGGGAAGAAGGGAGGCTGGGCAGAGAGGAGAAAGGGTTATTTAAAATCTAATTTTAGGGCTGGGGATTTAGCTCCATAGTTCTGCCGCCTGCCTTGTAAGTGCAAGGACCCGAGTTCGATCCCCGGTACCAAAAATAATAATAATAATAAAATAAAATCTAATTTTAAATTTCTAAATTTAAAAGGTATATTCTAGTTCAAGGGGGGAATAGAAGCAAAAGTAGTTGCTTATTTGGGCAGATTTTGTTTTATTTCTTGGGCAGATTTTTTTTGTCTGGGGTTCATGGCTACATCTAAATCCTTAGTTCCTGTTGGAATTCAAAATTATATTTTAAAAAATCAGTCCTTTGTAATAATGCTTAATGCTTTACTATAAGTAATAAATATTTTTCCAAATCCCTTTTTTACAGATGATGATTCGGATACTGAAATATCAAATGACCTACCAAAATTTGCAGAAGGAATCAAGGCCAGAAACAGAAATCATAACTACCTGGTTCCCAGTCCTGTACTTAGAATTCTAGACCACACTTCCTTTTCTTCAGGTTAGACCTATATTTTGGTCTAAACATTGCCATATTTTGTATAGATCAATGGAAAAATAGTGCATGCCATAAACTTTTTGTACAGTTGTATTTATTTAAGAAACTTTATTTAGTAATAGTAATATAACAATAGGTTTGTTTTATTTTTCAGAAAAATCTGCTGATGTTGAAATTTGTGATGAAGAGTGTGACTCACCTGAATCAGTCAACCAGCAAACTCACGAGGAGAATCCTATAGAAGTCCACACTGCCGAAGATGTTCCAATTGCTGTAGAGGTACATGCAATTTCGGAGGATTATGATATAGAGACAGAAAACAATTCCTCAGAAAGCCTCCAAGACCAAACTGATGAAGAGCCACCCACTAAACTTTGTAAGATTCTTGACAAAAGCCAAGCTTTGAATGTAACTGCCCAGCAGAAATGGCCTTTACTGAGAGCTAATAGCAGTGGCCTCTATAAATGTGAACTTTGTGAATTCAACAGTAAATATTTCTCTGATTTAAAGCAGCATATGATCCTAAAGCATAAACGTACTGATTCAAATGTGTGCCGAGTATGCAAGGAAAGTTTCTCTACCAACATGCTTCTGATTGAACATGCCAAACTACATGAAGAGGATCCCTACATTTGTAAATACTGTGACTATAAGACAGTCATTTTTGAGAACCTCAGCCAGCACATTGCAGACACCCACTTTAGTGATCACCTCTACTGGTGTGAGCAGTGTGATGTGCAGTTTTCCTCAAGCAGTGAGCTCTACCTACATTTCCAGGAGCACAGCTGTGATGAACAGTACTTGTGTCAATTCTGTGAACACGAAACCAATGATCCAGAAGACTTGCACAGCCATGTGGTAAATGAGCATGCATGTAAATTAATAGAATTAAGTGATAAGTATAACAATGGACAACATGGACAGTACAGCCTCTTAAGCAAAATTACTTTTGACAAATGTAAGAACTTCTTCGTATGTCAAGTATGTGGTTTTCGGAGCAGACTTCACACAAATGTTAACAGGCATGTTGCTATTGAACATACTAAAATATTTCCTCATGTCTGTGATGACTGTGGGAAAGGCTTTTCAAGCATGCTAGAATACTGCAAGCATTTAAATTCACATTTATCTGAAGGGATTTATTTATGTCAGTATTGTGAATATTCAACAGGACAAATTGAAGATCTTAAAATTCACTTGGATTTCAAGCATTCGGCTGACTTACCTCATAAATGTAGTGACTGCTTGATGAGGTTTGGAAATGAAAGGGAATTAATAAGCCACCTGCCAGTCCATGAGACAACTTGATTATTTTCTTTGTTTTTACTGACATTATGTAAAATAATAAATTCAACTTTCTGGAGATGTTAAAATGGATGATTTTAAACACAACTTACAAGATTTGCCTTTAACAAGTAATAAGTTTTGTTTTTTTTTGGTTTTTTTTGGTACCGGGGATTGAACTCGGGACCTTGTGCTTGCGAGGCAGGCGCCAGAACCACTGAGCTAAATCCCCGGCCCAATAATAAGTTCTTTTATTGTCCATTTTTCTTGGCATTGCTACATTTTTCAGTATATAATTATACCTTGATTGTAGTATTTTTTTTTCTTTTTTTTTGGTACTGGGGGTCGAACTCGGGTCCTTGCACTTGCGAGCCAGGCAGTGGAACCCCTGAGCTAAATCCCTGGCCCAGATTATAGTATTTTCAACTGCATGGTAGTTCATAGTTTTAATTACTCTTAGTAACTGTCATCCAGTTTATTGTCTGTGCTCCAGTTTCATGAATTGCAAAGAAACAGATGTATTAAAACAAGTTACAGGGCCAGGGATTTAGCTCAGTGGCACCGCGCCTACCTTGTAAGCAAAAGGTCCTGAGTTCAATCCCCAGTACAAAAAAAAACACAAGTTACACTTTTTCTTAACCATAGCTGCTATTAACTTTGTAATATTAACACAAGCTAAGTTTTAAAAATTCATTCATATTCCTACGAATAAGAAACCAGACCTTTTGCATTCCCAATCAGGAATTGCCCACTAAGCAGTAAAAAATTCTGTATGGTGCTGGGGATTTAGCTTAGTGGTGCTGCTGCCTGCCTCTCAAATGCAAGGTCCTGAGTTTGATCCCCGATACCAAAAAAAAAAAATTCTGTATCTATGATTCTTTTAATAATACAATACTAGGAAGCCAGCAGTGTAGTAGGAAGAAAAGCTACATTTTTGCGGGGCAGCTTTTCTTTAATTCTTTTTTTTTTCTTTTGGGTACTGGAGTTTGAACTCGGGACCTTGCACTTGTGAGGCAGGCGCCAGAACCACTGAGCTAAATCCCCAGCCTACTTATTTTTGTTTTTTTAAGTCTTATCTATGTGTTGAATAACTTAAGAAGGGAGGGAGGGGAAGACTGGTAAGAGATTAGACAATAAGAAAGATAAGCCGTTTATAATTCATTCATAACCTAGTGACATTTCTTCTTCAAAGTGGAACCATGAAGCATGCCCAAACCTCTGACATTGAATTATTGACTGAGAAAACCTACAGAAGTGTTAATATAGAGTTGGGATTGGGGAGATGAGGGGTTGCAGACATGATAATGTCTAAATTGCCTCCATTAATGATAAATTAGTTTTGCCATCTGTATTAGTTTCCTGTGGCTGTTGTAATAAATTCCTACAAACTGGGAGCTTTAAATATAAATGCATTGACTCACTTCTGAAGGCCAGGCATTCAAAGTCAAGGTGTTGTCGGAGTTGGTTCCTTTCTGAGGGCTGTAAGAGAAGTATCTGCTCCAGACCTTTCTCCTTAGCTTGTAGATGTCTCCCTATTCACATGGCATTCTCCCTGTATGTCTCATCTCCAAATTTCTTCTTTTTATAGGGATGTCAGTCATCTGTACTAGGCCCTGTCTTGTCAACCTTATTTTAACTTGATAAAGATCCTGTCACCAAATAAGGCCATATTCTGTGGTACTTCAGTAAGTGAAAAGCTGGATGTGGTGGCGCATGCCTGTAATTCCAGCACTGTAGAAGGATCACCACCAGTTCAAAGCTAGCCTGGGATACATAGTGAGATCTTGTCTCAAAAAAAAGAAAGACGGGCCCAGGATTTAGCTCAGTGGTTTCGCCGCCTGTTGCACAAGCGCAAGGCCCCAAGTTCAATCCCCGGTACCAAAAAAAAAAAGACTTGAGGGGAACACAGTTCAATGCATAGGTTTTGTAATGGCAGTATCAAGAAGGCAGAATTATGTCATGCGTCATGGCATATACCTGTAATCCCTGCACTTGGGAATCACTGCTATTTCGAGGCCATCCTGGCAGGCATACTTCAAGCCCAGCCTGAACTTCATGCTGAGACTGTCAACCAAAAAAAGACAATTATGTATGTTTTTGTCCTCAAATTTAACAAGTATTGCTGATAACTGACAATAATTGCCTGGGTGTATTGATTGAAAAAGACCAATTTATGACCATGAACCAGGGGAATTTGAGAATGGTGACTGCAAAAAGTTCTCAAAACCTATCATTTTTATTCTATTTTATCATAAATGCATGCCTAGAAACTCACATTCCATTTGATCATACCATTTCTGGTAGGGCTGTCCTGATAGAAGTGCTCCTCAGAAGATTTAAAATTTTAGCAGTTTAGCAGCAAGTTCAAGCCCAGCCTGGGCAATTTAGCATAACCCTGTCTCAAAATTAGAAATGAAAAAGGGCCGGGGATTTAGCTCAGTGGTTTCACCACCTGCTGCGCAAACACAAGGACCCAAGTTCGATCCCCAGCACCAAAAAAAAGAACTGAAAAAGGCTAAGGGAGAATCCTAGAAATTACTTGGCCTGAACCAGGTGAGGAGGCACATGCCTATAATCTTCAGCACTCGAGGCTGAGGTAGGAGGATTACAAGTTGGAGCCTAACCTTGGGAACCTAGCAAGACCGTATGTCTAAAATAAAAAGCTGGAGATCTATTTCTGTGTGAGGACCTTGGATTCAATCCCAGTACCAAAAAAAAAAAACCAACCTATCAGATCTAAACCTTAAAGTTTTCCAGTTTTCTTGTAGGAATAGAAATAAGGTTGTTAGGAGACCAAGGGCACATAACCAGTTATAGCATCCGAGAGCAGAATCTATTCTTTGGCTTACAGCCTAGTGGTGATTTCTTTACACCATGTTGCATAAATCTAACCTTTGTTCCTGGGTTGTTTTTCATGACTTTCACCTGTCCATTCACTTAGCTGCTGGGTTGTTTTTTTTTTGGTACCAGGGATCAAACTCCGGACCTAGCTAATTGATAATTCTGGTTTTTGTACCTTTTTGTATATATCTAGGTCTAGCAATTTGATTTTTGAGAAGCAAACTTTAAGTGATGCCTTGGTTTTAAAAAAATGTATTTTACTGCTTTACATTTAATTAGGTGTTAGTAATCAAAGATTGTAATGAAACTACTTAAGAGATAGAAATCCAAGTTTTAAAACCATAGAGTTTTGTACTTTTTAATGAATTTGCAGCAGAATGCCGTATCTCAGTTTGTGTAATAAAACTTTTTACTGTGACTTAAGTGTTTTTGAGTTTTTTGGTTTTGGGAGGGCAGTTTTGGGGATGGCGTCTCACTATGTACTTCAGGCTGGCCTTGAACTCACTGTACCTGAGGTGAGCCTCGAACTCTCAGCAACCCTCCTGCCTCAGCCTCCTGAATGCTGGGATTACAGGTGTGCACCAGTATTCCCAGGTCAGTTTTCACATAAGTCTGTGGTTGACTATAAAACCTTGGTCTGTATTTTTAAACTTACTGAGCTTCTCGGAAAAATAAATCTACTTAAAAAATTTTTCTAACTACTTCTGGATGGGGTTTTTTTTCCCTTCAGAGACAGATATTTTCTCTGTATTCTTTTGTGTGACTTGAACCCAAATTCAAGTATGAAAATAGGTAACAGAAGGTGATATGTATTTACACTGTAATAGCATTCTTGGCAGCAGTGACAAGTTTTGTTTTGTTTTTTTTAATCATTCATCACAATGAATTATTACTTTTGAATTTCCAAAGCATTTCCGTATACTCCAGAATTTGAAAATACTTGTGTGCTACTCAAAAGCCTGTTCCTGCTTATAAATCTGCCACTTTTACTATCTTAAATAATCCCTCTTAGATTCTCTGAAGGTGCATCATCACATATTAACCAATTTCTCAGTTTCACGGGGCCCATAGCCTATTGTTGGTTGGTTTCCAAATTATTGCAGGTAAAGCATATATAGGCTTTTAAAACATACTGTTTCAGGGCCGGGGATTTAGCTCAGTGGTTTTGCTGCCTGCTGCACAAGCGCAAGGATCGGAGTTCGATCCCCGGTACCAAAGAAAAAAAAATACTGTTTCAAAGCCGGGCATGGTGGCACCCGCCTGTGATCCCAGCACATGGGAGGGTGAGGCAGGAGGATTGCTGGGAGTTCAAGGCCAACCTGGGCTACATACTGAGTTCAAGGCCAGCCTCAACTACAAAGCGAGATCCTGCCTCAAAATTATATATAATATGTATAATATATATGTTGTCATGAATAATATTTATATTTACATGGAACTGCTCAATTTGTAAGCTTAAAAATCTAAACTTTTCAGAGGCTATCAGTTATTTTGAAATTACATCATAAAGATTTAAAAAATAATTTTTTGGATAAAAGTTTTCCATATTAATACATCAGTCACCACAACTTCCTTATTAAATTCATTCTTAGTAGACTTAGTGTTAAAACTAGCAACTACCTGAACACAAAATAAATTTGTGGAAAGTAATGTCTTTGTTCTAAAAAGAAACAATTTTTTCAGGTTTCAAAGTAGTAACATTGTATAATCTAATCTTACTCAGATACTTTAAGAGGTGTGATTATTTAGAGATTTTTTTTTTTCTCTGAGACAGGATCAAACTATGCCTTCCAAGCTGGCCTTCAGCTTCTATGGTAGGTAGCCCAGGCCAGCCTCGAACTTGCTGAGATCCTTCTGCCTCAGCTCCTGAGTGCTGGAATTACAGGCATGCACCATTACACCCAGCTTATTTAGAGTTTTTAAAAGGAATTTCTGTTGTGGCAACGTTTTTAAATTTTTATTTTGTATTATTTTGTTATCACAACTTAATAAAAGCTTATTGTTCATTGTTCTTTTTGTTTTGTTTTGTTTTGTTTTGGTACCGGGGATCGAACTCCGGTCCTTGGCGCTTGCACAGCCAGCGGCGAAACCACTGAGTTAAATCCCCGGCCCCTGTTCATTGTTTTTAATAGACAAATCTGACCTGGATAGTTTTTTCCTTGCTAAAAATACTCATATGAATGAATCATTTTTAAAATTTAAGAAATATTGTGGTGCTGAGGCCCCTCAGCGAAAAAAATGTCCGCCTGAGGAGACCCACAAGTTCTGTCCGGAGGAAGGCGGCCCCTGAGCCCGCCGGAGCGCGCGCGGCCCGAAGGAACTTTCGCCGGAGGCTGGACCTGCGAGAAGTGGCCGAAGACGAACCCCCAACAACAGCGCATGGCCGCGATAGGCACCGATAAGGAGCTGAGTGACCTGCTGGACTGCAGTGCGATGTTTTCCCCACCTGTTAATAGTGGGAAAGCCAGACCAACGACACTGGGAAGCAGCCAGTTCAGTGGATCAGGCAATGCTAGCTCCTGTTTCTTTAGCAAAATGAATTTCCAAAGGACAACAACAGCAACAATAACAAAGACAAAGCAAACTACCCTTCAAGAACAATTAGCTATAGTCAGGGCTATTGTGGTGGGGGAAAAAAACCTGCTCAGGAATCTAAAAGCTTGATTATTATTATTATTTTGGTAAGATTTGGGCTGGAGCCTATCAGTTAGGTGAAGGGGTTAGAGTTAAATTCTCAGCTTGGTGTGCTGGTGCATGCCTGTAATCCCAGCACTTTGGGAGACCGAATCAGGAGGATCACAAGTACCTGGGCAACTTAACAAGACACTGTCTTAAAAGAAAATAGGATGGGCTGGCCCATAGCTCCGTGGCAGAGTACCAACATTTCCACCAAAAAAATCTGAATACACATCAAGATGAAACATCTAAATAAATAATCAACAGAAGACTGAACCTGGAGGCCATTAAGCTAAATGAAATACATCAAGCACAAAAAGATAAATACCATGCAATCTCACATACATGTGGAATCTAAAGAAGTTGAACCCGAAGAAGCTGAATAGAATAGTAAATTACCAGGGACTGGGATGGAGAAGGAATAGAGATTGGTAAAATGTTGGTCAAAGGATACAATTTCCTTTGTTGTACAACATAGTAACTATATGTTAATATCAACATGTGTTGCATATTTGAAAATTGCCAAGAAAGTAGATAATTACTCTTGCCACAAAGAATGTTAACTATGCAAGGTTATGCATATGCTAATTAGCTTAACTAGCCATACCATAGAGTGTATACATTTGAAAACATCAAGTTGTTCACAGTAAATATATACAATTTTTATATCAGTTTTTAAAAATAAAACTTATTCCCTCCCCCCGCCCGAAAAGAAATATTACTGCAATACTGGGTTTGAGCTATCCACATCCCTTTTTTTTTTGAGACAGGGTGTCAAGTTGCTCAGGCTGGGCTCAGATTTGTGATCCTCCTCCCTCAGGCTCCCAGACTGCTGAATGAATTATAGCCTGAAAAAAATATAGTGGAAAGTACACATTTTGAGTGAAAATTTAATTTTCTGTTTTTAATATCTTACATAGTGTTTACTACTGAAAATTAGTACAGTTGAAATAATTAACTAATTTTCCCTCTTTTTCTTTTTTTTTTTTGATATTGGAGATAGAACTCAGAACTGTCAGGTAAAAGGGCCAAAGACCAAGACCAGACCAGGCCACAACAAGCCTTTATTAGGGGAATAGATCTGCCAGGCTGTCTCTGAACAAAGGAGAGACAAAAGCAATATGGCCGGGGCAGGGAGAGTCTTTTATAGAGACTGGGGTGGGGTTTGT